TGTGAATGATGGGAAGAATCAAAGAAACAAGCAAACAAAAAACTTATTGCACAAGAGGAGGAAAAGAAATGGACTATTATTTAGAAATCTTAACAGTGCAAAATAATTGTGCTGGCTTTCAGCAGAACAAAAGAAGTTGGAAAAATGCTGGTTTTCAAAATACTTTATAGTCAACTTTGTAAGGGCCTGGAATCACAATATGGGCACAACCTCTAATGCCTTGAGCAGTGAGATATGGAAATGTCACTTGTATTTTTCTCCCAAGTACCCTTTTTTTCCCCCATAAAATAAAGAACGAAAGAGGTTTATCAGGAGCCTTGTGACCGTTGTTTGCTCCCAGCGGGCTGGCTCCCTGGAGGGCTTTCCCTTGCCTGGGGAAGAAGCCTGGCATCCTGGCAGAGGTGACAGCTGCCACCAGCTCTGTTGGGCCATGACAGCAGGGCAGCCTGCTCTTCTTCTCCGTCCCCAGTAACAGCCACACGTTGCTTGTTGGTGGCTGCCGGTGCAAATGTGAAGGGAAGCACAGGCCACATCATTCCTCCTGCTCTCCAAATGCCACCATGGAGGAGGACATGTATAACTGAAGTAAAATTTCCTAAATGCTGTTGAGAAAATGGCCCTTTTTCAATCTTCCTTAGGCTTGGATGGGATAAGATTGTATAGTTACAGCAGCAAAATGAAATTAAATCAAGGCTGAATATTAGAATAGGGTGACAGAAACTCAACAGGATGTGAGTGAGGATAATTTAAACTGATTGTAGAGAGCAAGAGAAAAAAAAATCAGGGAATAGTCTTATTCTAATAGTAGTGATATTGAGAGGGACTATCAAGTCTTCACAAAACATTGTTTGGGTCCAAAAGGTGAGGCAAAACTTGGTCACTGCTCCCTCTATTGCCTCAGAAATGCATGAAGGAGACAGCAGTGAGGCACTTGTGCCTACAGGCAAGTTGGTCTCTTTCAGCTTGAGAGGCTTTGAGAGAAAAACTGCAGGAAGGAGCTGGGTAGCACCTGGAGCTGGTGCAGGAGCCTCAGGAGCTGCTTGGTCAGGAGCTCTGGACAGGCCTTGGCTGTGAGCTGTGGCTGCGAGTTGGACGCCCACCGTGCCTATACCCAACTGTGCTCTCCCACCCAACACCCCTGGTGGGGTTCAGCTCCCCACCTTCACCAAGAGGACAAGAGGAAATGGCCTCAAGTTGCACCCAAGGAGGTTCACGTTAGATATTAGGAAAAACTTCTACAGTGAATGAGTAGTCAAGCCTTGGAACAGGCCTCCCAAGGAAGTGAAGTCACCATCTCTGGCAGTGTTCAACAAACATGCAGATGAGGCGCCTGTGGACATGGTTTAGCAGGCATGTATGGAAGGGCTTACGACTGGACTCAATCTTGAAGGTCTTTTCCATCCATCATGATTCTAGATTCTATGCCTCCAGTAGCTCCCTCCCCAGTGCATTTCCATAGACAGGATTTAAATAATGCAACTGAAGGAACAACACAACTGCAGCACCAACGTGCAGCTTGCGGTCCGTGCAATGAGGACTGTGTCTGAGTGTTGCTGGATCCCTCCCTTGCCCTTGTTGGTGCTCATTGGCGGAGTGGCCAGCTCTCCCAGGGCACTCCACAATGAGCAGCACAGCGGCACCAGCCTCAGCCGCCACAGAGACAACTAATAGCATTAAAGCACGGAGGCTCTGCAATAAGGAAGCCAGTATAAGCAGGACATCGTAGTGACCAGGACTTGTTTGTATAAACAGAAAATTAGAGACTGGCAGAGCTCAATGTTTTACATAAACTTTATTGAGCTTTGGAGAAGGTTGCATACAGTCAATCAGGTTGCTTCAGCAGCATATCATATGTTTAGTATGTGTGGTCTGGTCTTTCTCTTCTCAGCTACTCAGCATAATTCTTAGCAGGATTTTATGCTCTAGAGAGTAACTAAAACTATTAGCATCCTCTGGGATCTCTGTTCCTATTGGTGTTAATGACATTTTGGGAAGAATTCCTAACTGTATCCTGAAATTAAGATGCAACAAACTGTGTTTCTGTGGAAATTCAATAATACCTGTCTTATTTCCTAATATGAGTATCTGAAAAGTTTTCTCTTAGACAAAATGTACTGCCAGTGTCAGAGAACATTTTCTTCAACTCAAAGCTTTTTATCTGTTTTATTTTTTTGTCATATATCAGTATCTCAAATATCTCAAGTCTTTTAACAAGTAAAACTTAAAATGTCAGAAGACATTTTTATTCTGAAAGACACAAGAGAAAAAAATGATGTATCTGTGATTGCTTTAATGAAGTGCATTTAAAAAAAAAAAAACTGTCGTGGCAAAAGATAAACCATCTGGCAATGAGAAGGGTATTGCTTAAGGAGTAGTACATCACGCTTGTGAGTGCCAGCTTAAGGCGCTTCCGCCTGCCCTGACTTTGTGCTGTTTGTTCTGCATCCATGCCGTGGCACACAGCTGCCAGCCTTGTGCTGGCACAAGTATTCCTCTTATGGCATTACGGTTCTGAGAGCTGACCTGGCTTCTAGAAGGAAAAAAAAAAATGTGGACCAAGCTGTTTTCATGATAAAGGAGACCTCTACACCAGTTTACAGGTGGGCAACACCCAGAGAAGTGTTGGCAGAGCTGAGGGCACCTACACTGCGGCATGGGGACAAGAAGAAGCAGCTGCAGAAGTACCATGAACTGGAATGGCTGCTGAAGACGTTCTCTTGTCAGGTCACGAGCTTACTCTCTCCTTCTCTTCATCATTTTTTTAGTCAATGTCTTTTTCTGATGTCAGTGGAGTTATACCCATTTTCCATGGTTAGAACGCCATCGATGAGGGAACATGTTGTCAGGGGATCCATTTAGCCATGCCTATCCATGATTTCCTCTGTACTTAAAAACGAGAACTTCAGTTTCAAATTCCTGCTCGTTTTAAATCTATGTTATCATTTGCACAATTATTTATAGTCAGATCTAACTTTAAAATTAGGAATTGAAAAAAATGCCTATAATTTTTTGAACACAGAGTCCTTATTCCAATCATTAAAAAACAAAAGGAATCAAGGCTTTCCTTGATTTTGGATAGTCCGTAAATGTCTTGAGATAGTACCTGAAAGAAAATAAGCAAGAGAGTGAAACTGCATATATGCAAGAAAGCTGCACAGTTTCAATACAGCTCATCTGCAGAACCTTAAGACTCCTCCAAACTGCCTCATTTTGTAACCTGTATGAATTTCTTTGCAAAAGACTTGCCCCAAAAAGCTTACAGCATGTTATTTAATTAAATGAAAACTATAATAATGTTAAGATTATAAGAGACATAAAGTAGAAAACTTAGGTGTTCAGAGCATAGGACCATATCTATGGTTGCAAAGGGATCTCTAGGACAGGTCCACATTTATAATATACAGTAAAAAGAGGCCTTTTACTCTTTTTTTACCCAGAGGGACATGACTAAAATGGTAATGCAACTCATATTAGATTAAATGACTATCAGATTCACTCAACAGGCATTCTAGCCCATTGCTATACTTTCAGACAGTCACAAATAGGCCAATAAACTTAACCATACATGATATGGAATTTCAGTTTTATCTTGAATTTTGGCCTTGCTCTCATGCCCCTCCATGGCATTTTGCAAACTCGATTCCAAGAGCAAGTAGCAACATACTGCAAGAAAAAGTTTGGATTTTGATACCTGTGATGGTGATAAGCACGTGGCCCAATGCAGCAAAGAGTAAAAAAGGCAAAGGCAAAGGCTGGTAAGGACCAGGTTGCTATGGCAAAGCCAAACCATTCCACAATTTCTCCAAAGTAGTTGGCTCCAGAAACATAGGTGAACAATCCCCCTGCATTGATGGACAAAATACATATTTTTCACAATCTTGTGCACATGAAACATCCTTCCCCATAATCTCGGCAGCAGGACACTGTACATTTCTACTCAGAGCCCATAAAACTTAAAATCACTTCTTTGAAGCCAGTGGAGCCAAGCCAAAGTACAAGGAGGATCTTGTAGAGCACTCTTGTACAAGAATCAGAGTTGATTCTAACGCAAAGGCTTCCAACACTTTCACAATCATTCATTTTTCATTTAGAGAAGAACATGAGAAAGTCCATTATCAGAATTATTAAAATCATAATTCAATGAATTCTCTTCTGGCCTTAAAAATATACTGCAATTTCACTACCTTCAGGGAATTCAAAATTTGGGCCTCAGTTTTGACTCTTAGTTATAAGTATTGGAGGTAATAAGATACTTGGTGGAGAGAAATTACCAAAGAGTAATGATATGCCTCACATCCTTACTATTATTTTCCCCTGAAGTTTACACTTCAATTTTCCCCTTTGCAATGTAAGAAATTCATATCTTCTTACACATCGAGATTATTCCCTTCTTTGCAACTGCCTTTTACATGGCTAAAACTTCTTGCCACATTCAATCTTATCTAAATTACCCAAGCCATTTCCCACAGTCTTTCATCACAGTTCGTATTTTCCAGACACTCCTGTTGCTCCCTGTGGCATCTCTTTGGCCAACTCCCACTAGTCCCTGCCACTCAGACAGACATCTGGACCAAGAACCTGAGTAAAACTGCCATTACTGCTGCCATTGATTCTTTGCTGTGTACTTTAGTCAGAAAACATGCTCTAGCTCTACCTACTTTATTTAAGGAGGAGAAGGACAAAAGTATACCTTGAGGGATCTTGTAGGTGACTTCCCCTGGTTTTCTCAGCTGGCGCAACAGGAGGTCACTGTGAATATTGATCCCCATTCCAAGCAGAAATAAGAGAAGGCCTAACAAACAGAAATGAGAAATGGGTTAGAAAGACACTTCCTGATCTGTCCACTTACACCTATTCCTGGGACTTAAGCACATTTGTCAGGTGCATTTTTTGAGCAAGCTAATATAATACCTAAGCTGAATGGGATGGAGTCCTTGTGTTTTTTTGTTTGTTTTTGTTTTGTTTTTTGTTTTTTTTTTAACCTTTCTGAAAAGACTACTGAACTGGGAAAGTTAAATGAGTTATAGCAAAATAGCTGTTTGTGTCAACTGTGGGATCAGAATCACCTAGAATCACCTGCACTGGATAACTTTGGTGTGGAGAAAAACCCTGCACAGAACATGGCTCAAAACAGAGAAAGGCCCACCTCTGCATACAGTTTTGTAGATACTGTGATTGTTCAGCAGATTTTTTGCCATCATTTGGTGAACTTCTGTGTCCTCATCCCAGCTGAAGAGCAGAGCTTGGTGCTACTGAGTGCCACCAGCCAGAGCAGCTCAAGTGAGGATGGTTCGTTTTTAGTCTACCGGAAAGTTAACTGTCAGATGCCTCAAGGTTCCTTAATTGGGTCTCACAGGTATGTTTATTAATGATCTAAAAAGAGGGATGAGCAATGAGCAAAGCTGCAGGTAATACAAAGTCCTTTAAAGACTAGCAAGGACGTGTCTAAGAGATGAAAATGCAGGCGAGTAGGCAGTGTGATGGCAACTGGAGTGCAGTGAATTCAGTGAACCCAAAATAATGCAAGTTAATGGAGAAAACACATTAATCATACAGCATTTGGGTTCTAAATCCACTTCTTCCTTTCAGGCAGTTAGTGAGAAAAGCTCCTAGCTGTAGTAAAGAAAGTTATTAGAATACTGAATGTGTAGACGAGACTGCAGATGTCTCAAATCAAAGATATTGGCCCATCTGCAAGGAGGCATCACTGGCTGGCCAATATTGAGTAATAAGCAGAGAAGGACATGAAAAAAGAGTTCTCATAAAGAAAGATTGGATCTATTATAGATGAGAAAATACATAATATAATGAACAGCAAGGAAAAACACCAAAAAGGAACATTCAGTTAGCTAAGAAGATTTCAAATCAATAAAAGGATATATTAGTAAATTCAGAACATGCTGCTATAAGGGTATCACTGAGCTCAGTCATTTAGCAGAGTCCAGAGGGGGGTCAAGCAGCTATCTGCATATGGGGAGTCCCCAGGATATCAGCATTGGGATGTGGTGGGGTGTTGGGAGTAGGGGGGCGTTGGGCTTGGACTTCAAACAGAAGTGATTGCTGGAAGGGTTTGAGTTTAGCAACAAGATCCTGACAGCAGCTGAGAAGAAAGGTAAGGAAATAGGCAAAGGATCTGAGATGGAGGCTTATTTTGGGTTGCTGAGGATAGGTGGGTGTTTATCCAGAAAGATTAGCTCAAGGCAAGAAAGGGGCCATCACTTTGCCTGTCACTGGAGGAGAGCCCTGCCACCCTCCTCCCCACTGGAGGGGAGTACTTGCCCCCAGCTTTTTTTTGCCAGCTGCTGCTTGCTCGTCTTTCTGAGGCATCTCTTAGAGCAGGTAGAAGTGGAAAAGTGTAGTGGATAGCCTGCTAGCTGGCTATCTACCAAAACGACCTCGACAAGAGTCAGCCACAGCTACGGACGTTACTGCAGAGTAACTGCTGAGCTGTAGGCACATCTCATTATTCTCATTTTAGAGCCGAGGAAATGGGAGCACAGGCAGCACAAGCATACCGAGCACCTCACATCAGCCAGGAAGGCAAGCTACACGTGGGCGCAGTTTGGTGCAGGGGCAGCAAGGCCCTCTGCTTTGGGTCGGGCTGTCTGTACATGCATGGAGCAGTTAGCAACTCACTGGAGATGACTGACAGCTGCTGCCAGAATGATTCATTGACTAGACTCCATTTAGCTGCAAAATTAGAGATATTTGATTGAGAAACTCTGCAGGTGACCTGCCCTACATTTCATGCCACATTAGACACTGAGGAAACCATCTCTAGCAGTCAGGAGGTAAGGAAAGAGATGGTGTGTGCTAGGATGAAATGTAGAAAGTGCTGGTAAAATCTCACAATTCCAATAACGACAAAATTTGGTAAGAGTCTCTAGAGGAGGAGTGCATTGCTAGCCTCATTGTTTTGTTTAAAAGCTATTTAATATTTCAAGTACTGCTTATACTGATTTCCCTTTTTTACACCGAATGTATAATTTTATTTATTATGCAAATATATATATGCAAACAGTGTGGTGTGGTGTGGTGTGGTGGGGGTATCTGATGGCTATGAAAGCTGTTACTAAATAACACCCAGAATTTTTAAAATGTGATGCTATCAGAAAAGCATGTTGTGGATCTTTGATCCACAGCAAGAAACAGCATATACAGAAAGTAGCTTGGCCACTTCATACTTGTGACATCCAAAACATTTCCTCAGACTTCTATGTTAATCTTCATTTCTATGCATGTAATAAAACATCATCCCTCTAATGCAGGCACCATATGTGTAATGCCACTTAGCTGTTCCATCATAGTTTTTCTCAGAGAGTTTAGAGGGTCAAATTCTGTTAGGCTATTAAGCTCCTGAATATAAAGGAACTGTATTAACATACAACCTCACTGTGCACGCTCTCTAATCCACCCCTGTGCCTCACACAAGGGAAAAAGAGCCCTTTGTCTCTGCAGTCTCATTTGTGCTGGGGTTTTTCCCTTCTCTGTTAGTCAGAATAGCTGCAAGTCTCTGTGGTGGGGAAAGCAAGCGGCAGCTTGCGCTTGCACACGGCCACTGCTTGGTAGACAGTTCTGGCTAAACAAGGGCAAATCCCTGAGATTGCATCTCCTGAGCCCAGAGCAGCAGGGCGCTCCAGTGCGGGGTGGCTAAAACAAGGCTGGTGATTTGAGACTCTGCTCTGATATCGTACACTGTGCGCCTTCAAAGGTGGCTGCCCAGCAAAAAAAAAAAAAAAGGTATTGTGCATTTACTTATTTTATCTAGGCCAGCAGGCAGGTTTTATGCTGATTTCTATCACAACTGATTTGACTCACATGTTCAGCGGAGATTAGGGCGCAATTCCAAATGCTTACAAATTGCTTGGAGATTAGATCTTGGGAATCCTGCAGCTGTAATTACCTGATGTAAATCTGATGTCAGTGCACCAATCATTTGGATATTCAGCGCAGTAAATCAGGTAGTATCCCTGAAGGAAGCCATTATAGATACAGAATAACGTGCCAAAGAAAAGCAATTGCAGTGGGAAAGGTCTGCCTCTAGTGAAGAAGGGGTAAATAAATGTCCTAAGGTAGATAAGAAAACAAAGTCAGATGAGAAAAAAAATTGTTAGCACATTACACACAATAACATTGTATTTCCAATTTCTCTGTTTGAAGAAAAACCTTTAATAAAGAAAATCTTTAATAAAACGTAAAATATTAAAAAGGTCAATAAAGGTTAAAATAATGGAAGGCAAACTGTAACAAAAGCAGACTATCTAACAACTAATTGGAATGTGAAATATTGCAGATACTGATATTTGCTGGTCCTTCTGCATTGAACACAGGGTGGGGAGCGAGAAATCTCCATTTCAGAGTCACCATGGCTTTGAGACTACCCTTCTGCCTTGCTTCAGCCTTGGTGGCAAAATAAGGCACCATTGCCCACCAGCAGCACCCTCGTGTTAAATCTTTGCTGCTCTTCCCCGTAGCATTCCAGAGGAGGCTGCAGAGGTGCCTGTGGTGGATGGAGTCCACAGCTGCGTGATCCCTCTGGCTCACATCTCCTGACGTGTATAGCCTGAGGTTTAATCCCTTTTCCCAACACCGGCACAGATCCTGGCACAGATCTCCCCACTCGTCCCTGACTGAGCCACCAGGTCCGGCCTCTCCTTCCTGCTTTCAGACATGACTCTCAAATAAGAAGAGCTAAAAAAGCTTATTTGAAAATGCTAAGAGCCAAGATTTTCATGTATCTGCAGTGATTAGGGCTTTCTCAGACAGAAGTTGTGCTCAGACCAGCATTAATATTTGCAGGGACAAGCAATTTGTGATGACATAATTTAATTTTTTCTTCTCTGCAGTTCAGGTGAGCAATTGACCCTGTGGGCAACCTCAGATCGTCCTTGGGGGAATAAACTGGAGATGTTATATTCATGAAATGTAGATGTTTTCTTACCTGGCCAACTAAGTTCTGAATGTGGTAAAATCTAAACTCTTACTGTTCTTTCTTTTGTCTTCTTGGGCTTCACATTTTGCTTATCATACTAATGTATGAGCGCTACTGACAGCTTATCCACACCCCAGGTTGCCAATATGAACTAAAGTAAACTGTAACATAAAATGTTGTAACACTATAAATCTAGCTTAGATCTTATCAAGCATGTCTAAAAGTGAGTAAGCTGAGTACAAGCAACAACAAATTAATGTATTAACTGCTCTCTAAAGCCAGGTAAGTCAGTTTTCTGGTAATTAAGACAGTGCTTGTGATGCAGAAGTGCTAAATATTTCTAAGTGTAGTGAAAGCTAAGAGGTACAGAAATATTTTTGCAGGCTGTGGTATCACATTGGTTATATTTACTACATCATGGAAAGGAATGCTGTTTGGAGTAATGTTGCCAATTATTGTTTTTGCCCTTTGGGAATGTGATCCTGGAATTATAAGTAGGCGAGGTTAGCTTTAGCAATCAGAACTGCCTGTCGAAATAATATTGACAAATTGGATCTAAACAGCTATGAGAGAAAAAAAGTGAGGAACTTGCAAATGGAAGCTCGGAGGAATTGTATAGAAGAGAGGATGACATCAGATCCATGCATGGTGAATTTAGAAGGGCAATTTATAGACGGGGTTGGAGTGAGGCTCACAGTGCTTCATCTTTTGTCAAAAACAGAAGTGCTGGAGAATCTCGTAATTTTTGTAGCTGGATGGGTGTTTATGCCACCCAAATTTCACTGTTTCTAACATGTACTGGCATTTCTCAGTTCCCGGGGAAGTCATTTGTTCCCACGATGCTTCCTGCGTCTGCTGTGGAAATGTAACAGTTGTTGCCTTTGAGTGGTGACTTGTCCATGAGGCAACCCTGACAGTAACCGGAGGGCAAAAATGAAGCATAAACTTATCTACTGTGGATGCAGTGGATGCAGGACAGACGGAACCTGCATGAAAAGTGAAAGAACAGTCTCAGAGGAGCCAGCAGGCATCGGAATTTTTTTTTTATTATTTTTATTTTTATTTTTATTTTTATTTTTTTGACGGAATAAAATCTTGACCTGGCTGAAATTTTGTCTCATGGGAGATTTGAAAGTCCAGCTCAGGATTTCATCCAAGAATCTTGTTGTGGAGCAACTTCCCTGAGGAAATCTGCTTGGGACTGTACCTTCATGGGCCAGATTTTGTTCTCACTTTCTGAGCAAAGCCATGAAGCCTCTGTTTTAAGACAGTGCTTGGAAACATGTAATACATAGCTGCTTGAGGAGCACAAATTATTCCCAATGGATTTTGAAAAGGCAACTGAGAAAAGTGAGCACATCCAATAGATTTAATTATTCCAAACAACAGTCTGCTTCTCTATTGGAATTATTTTACAGCGTGAAAATTAAGAGAGTATCCAAGGCCACTGCTTTAGAATAACATATCAAAAACTGGCCTTTTGGAGTTAGACTGAAGACACATTTGACCTTTTTCTTTCTCTGCAATATTGATGACTAATCCTTTATTCCTTTATCATCTGTACTGGCCAAAGCTGCTGCATCTGACTAAAGCATTGCCAACAACTTCCTTGTAAATGAGTGAATAATGAATTATTCATCTTTGTTTCCATCACTTATTTTCCAGAAGAACAATTTTTGAAGAGAAAATTATAGGAAAATGCTGTCATTGACAGCTTGTCAGATTTCATCTTATAGATATTAGTCCAGCTCACTTAAAAACACCAGAGACCCCCACTCAAACTAGGAGAAACTATAGATTTGTTCCTCTTTCCAAATAAGATGCCATCCTTTTTAAAATATTTTCATAATCCACTAACAGTGGGCTTTCAATCCTCCTACAACAACTTGTAAATTAGACATATTTATGCAGCTGCTATCCCTTTTTGTCTCCAGAGCCCAGATGCAGTAGTTCAGACAGTAGCAGCTCATGCTTTTCAGTTTAGAGGCTGTAGGTATTTCCAGTTCTTAGTAGGTGGTTTTTACCTGAGGCAACCAGTAGAGAGGTCAAGGCTGGGGATGAGTGACACCCAATTCCTTCCTACACATTTTCTGTGTCAGCCAGTGGGACACCTGCCTGCTGCTGTATCTGGCTACCTAGCTCTGCCACCAAGGCCTCCTCCAGGGCTAACTGGACGGAACAAGGGATCTGAGATGTTACAAAGGTGGGGATCTTGGTCTGCCCCACTGACGAGGATGACCCAACACACTGAATTGTGTCTTGGAAACATTTCTAAGCATTCAAGGCTGCACACACTGCAATTCTTTGCCCGTCTCCCCAGCATGTGAAGATATGACATCAAAAAAGTTGTGGATTTCTGGGAGCCCATGGGAGGGCCCTGAGCCCAGGCAGCTGGACCTCCAGGAGGACAATGCTCGCAGAGACCTTGCGGCTCACTTGTATGCTGAACTGGTTCCATCACCTGCCAGGGACATTCATTGGAAAATCCTTCACTGAGTAGTGAGTATGGTTATAATCATGGAAGGATTCACCCTGTTGGCTGAGCTGTGACCCTTCCAGTTCTTCCAACATCGCTGGAACATCAGATAAATACAATCACTTGCTGGGCTAAGGCCCAGTTCTGTAAACTCCTCTCAAATTGTAATCCGGTGACTGTGGTAGGAACAAGAGGACTTTCTTTTTATCTCAATCAGGAAGATTAATGGATCTTGCTACACAAGACTGGAATAAGCTCTCCCTTCAGAACCACATCCAAGACATCCTCCTTCCATGTTTCTCCAACAAGCTTTGGATAAACTTTTGATCATTATAATATAAGGAACAAGACAGATATGTATATCACTGAAACACTTAAAATACAACTGGATAAAAGAACAATAACCCTGTAATAACAGATTGATTTCTGATTATTCTGTCTAAAAACAATTGCTGTTCTATCTGTGTTAGGATAGATTTAGTCTATCCTTGGGTTGCTTTTTGCCCTGATTCATCTAAT